CTGAAACCAAGAGAAAAAGGGGGTACTGGTTTTGCCTTGAGGTGAAGTGTTCCCCTAATGGAGGAGCTAAATGGATTTTATAAACTGCAGTTAGGACAATTTTCTCTTCCTTAGATCTGAAACCAAGAGAAAAAGGGGGTACTGGTTTTGCCTTGAGGTGAAGTGTTCCCCTAATGGGGAGAGCTAAATGGATTTTATAAACTGCAGTTAGGACAATTTTCTCTTCCTTAGAAAGGATTTAAACATGATGAATAAACACGTGAGTATGCCCCTCTGCCCCTTCCATTACCTCTTCCCACCTGGGAGCAAACACCCAGCACCTTACAGTGGCTCTCAGTGCTGGGAGCCTTGTCTGTGAAGAGTGTTATCTGAGGCCACGTTCACCTGCGATGGGGATGTTTGTGCAAGTGACATTATTGGGGAAAGAAGAGTGAAGGGAGCAGAATATGGCAGAGGAAGGAGCCAAACAGGGACACGGAGTCTGCTCAGCCCCATCCCGTGGGGAGCTCTGGAACATGAGCTGCATTACAGAGGTGGTCCCACCTTGAGGCAAAGGGGCGTCCTTTGGCACCCATCAATCATAGGCTTACAGAATGCACACAGGGAGGGCATTATAGGCTTCCAGGCAAAGCAACTTGCATTCAGCTGGGGGCTGCTGTACCTATCTAGTAAAAGGGCTCTTGGGGTAGCACAAATACCACCCACACAGGGAGTCAGCATGTGTGCAAAGCCCACACTCTGGTTGCTTCTCTGCCTCCTTGAAAGTCACAGCTGTGATAGGAGAGAGGGGAGTAAAATAAAGACTCTTGGCCAGGGCAGCTTACGTGGCCACAGGGGGCTGTACTGGTGCTGACAGGCAGTAGAAGGGTGATCCATGACATCCTGCCAAGGGCACACGACTCAGGAACCATGTGCTCAGCTCCCCTTCCTAGAAGTGTCTTTGCTTTTCACTCTTTTTGCTTGTCCTTGCCAAGATCCAACCAGAATTTTGAAATTTTTATTTGACTGAGTAGGGTGAGAGAGAGACTTGGAACAATGAAACAAGTGCTAGTTTAAATGTTATTTTCTAGCATTTTGGAGTTAATGAAAAATAAGGTAATTCAGCAGCTCTTGAATAATGAAAAGTAGTCTTAGGCCAAAGCTAAGTAAACTGAGATTCCCTTAAGTTCCAGAGTAAATTTTTGAAGCCATAGTCATTCCTTCACACACGTGCAAAAACTGAAGAAGTCTCTGGAGCAGTAAATCTTTACTTCAATAACAGGTAGACATATGACTTGAATTGAAAACCTCTCTCCTGCATTGAAAAGAATTCCCAGTAAGGTATTGAGCATTACAAGAGGAGTTGGAAACTGGGTTATGTAATCATGAGATACACACACACGCATACATACATACATATGCTGGGACATTCTCGAGAATAATTACACCAGGATGACAGGCATGAACCAGGACTATCCCAGGGAAGCCAGGAGGGCTAAGATCACTCTAGACTTGGGCTGGCTGCCTGCGTCTGATACCCACAGGCCAATTAGCTAGGATTTAGAGCAGCCTCATTAGTGCTAGTCTTTGGGGCATGCAGATCTTGAGACAGCATCTGAGAAATTATTCTCTGGTTTTCCTTATTGAAAATGCCACCACCTGTCCTCTAGGCTCCAAGAGCAGCCCTCACACTTGCTGTCATACTGCCATGTAAATGTCTCTTTTTCTGCTGGGGTATCTCCCCCTGCTAAGCTGTGAAGTCTACAAGGACAGGGACTAACATCATTCAGACCCATGTCCTCAGTGCTGACATGGTTCGTGATATGATGACTCGGCTACCCAGTGGATGCTCAGGGTCCACTCTGAATCCTGTGCCATTTCCATATTACATATGTAAACTTACCACCCATGAGTGTTTGAGGGCAGGATGGATGAAGAAACCCTGGCAGAAGGGCCAGGGAAAGGTGTTCCTGACAGTGAGAACAACTTAAACAGAGGTGTGGAAGCGATACCAGGGAAAGAGTGTTTGTAGAATAATAATGTGTGTGCACAGTGGGGTGGGGGCGGGGGAGGATAGCAGAAAAATATGGGCCAGAATGGATGCCAGGGTTAGGATTTGGGACTTTATTCTGTTTGCAGTGGGGAGAGGCATGCTTTAAGAAGGTTCCTCAGGCAGTCTGTAGAATAGACTGAAGAAAGGAAAGCTCGTAGCAGTAGCTTGCAAACATCATTGCGCAGCAGAATCACTTATTTTATCACTTACCGTTTATTGAAAACACTTATCCCAGGCCGCACAATCTCTGAGTCTACTCAGAGGTTAGTCAGTTACCTGGAGTGTGGCCCAGGAATCTGCACTTTTAAAGAAGCTGCCAAGGTGATGCTAATGTAGGTGATCCTGGGTCTCCACGTGAGGACACTGGCTAAGGGCTTGGAGAGCCATTAGAAAATTTTAATCATTGAGATCAATTATCTTCAAGAGTGGATGCTGAAAAGATATACTAGGGTTTCCTTTTAGATTTGTACATCTTTTGTTTAATTGTATTTTGGGTTTTTATCATTTTGTTTCATTGCTGTTTTCTAAGAAAAGTTGTATTCATGTTTAACAAACAAAAGTACACAAGTCATTAACTACCCAGCTCAATGAATTTTCACAAAATGATCACACCTGTGTACCCAGGACCCAGCCAAGGAAGAGAACATTCCCAGCACCCCAGGAACACCCCCACTTACTACTTCCCCATACTGTCTTGACTTCTAACCCCTAGGTCAATTATTTATCTTTTGTCATTTCTATTTTTTGTGTGTTTGATGATGTTCATAATATATTAGAATAGTAGGATATGTATATAATTTAAATAGGTATATTGTGGTTAGTGCTCACATGTTCTTACTGATTGGGTACACAATTTAAAAAAAATTCATCCTGCCTGTCTAAAGGACTGGAAATGTTGATGTGAAGTTGAGATGTGGGTCTTGGAAACTGAAAGACCTCTGTACCTTCTCCTTCTCCAAAATCTGCAAATATACCATCTCTCCTTGGAAGTCTTGATTTGGCTTCAGTGACTCAAGAGGCCCTGTGGGTTATGAAGAGCCTCCTGGCTTTACTTCAACCTTGGTCGGAAACCATGTACTTCGGTGAAAGATAGCCGCTGCCTGTTCTTCTCTCTCCTGGTTCTCTCAGGACACTATGTGCATAGTTCCCCCAGGCCTGACACACCCAGGGTCCTCTCCTCACCCTTGCACCCACCGACCTGGGAAGACTAGCAGGTGGACAGCTCAGTCCTGGCTGCTTCAGGCTGTGGAAAGAAGCTTTCTCTCTTCTTGGTTAGCTTTTCTTACAGCTTGTCTTTCCTAAACTAGCAAGATCTTAAAAAGCAGGATCAGGGTGTGGGCTTAAGAAAAAGGCACCAGAAAGATGATTTAGTTGCCTTTTCATTCAAATCGTAGGAAGCTTCTGGCTCACCAGGCCAGCCCCAGTGTTTGGACCTGAAAAGTCCATGGGAAGGGTGGGCAGCCAGAGGAGGACTGGGGACTCGACCTGCTCAGAGGGCACCTCGTCCCACCAAGCCAGCAGTGACTGCTGTCTGAGAACTGTTCCCAAGGACTCAAGGGCCTCACTGAGGCCACTCCCACACATCTGTCTTCTGTGCAGCCAGCCCATCTGTTGTGCTTTTGCTCTTTCAGGAGGAGATGGGCATTTCCTGTGAGCTTCTGGAATCGGACTTCCTCAAATGCAGCGTGGGATTTCCTTTCATGAGGTCGAAGTCGAAGGTAAAGGGCAGAGATGGGGCACCTCCTTGGCACGAGACCCCCAGCCCTCCCCACCAGCCACTGACTCCGCAACTGCCCCCCCCCGAGGTTTCCTCCCACACCCCTGCTCCTGCAGCAGCTCAGGCAGCCACCCAAGCCCTTCCATGCTACTGTCCCTGACAGTATACTTCAGGGTATACTCTAGACAGGCTGTGTGTGGAAGACACACCATGGCCTTTGCACTTTGGCAAGCAGCAATTGGTTGGCCTTCCTAAAAAATTTTTTCTGGAACATTCCATGCCACTTTGAGTCCCTGAGACAACAGGGTAAGATGTGGTCTGGGCTGGTGACCTACAGTCCTGACTCTGTTGCTTCCCTGGACACACAATATTCTTAAGAGGTCTCTCAAAATTCTCAAAATATAAATAACTATTCCACTTCATTTTTTTAAAAAAGTCAAAGAAACTACAGTTACTTTGATATTTACAAGGAGACATATATTCTAAGCTCAAACAATATCTGCTTTTTGAAATGGAAGCTATTTTCCCTGCTGTGGTTTGAAGGAAATTTCATACTCCTTTGTCTACCTTTTTTTCCATTAAAGTAAAAGCTTCACCCTTCTTTCCTGCCTGGGTCTCAGAATCAGATTTTTTTTTTTTTTTTGTCCTTTTTGAGACCGGCCACACCGCGCTTAGCCAGTGAGTGCTGCGAGCGCACCGGTCATCCCTATATGGGATCCGAACCCGCGTTGGAAGCGCTGCTGAGCTCCCAGCGCCACACTCTCCGGAGTGCGCCACGAGCTCGGCCCCAGATAATTTTAATCTCAAAGGCTTTTGGTCCCAGGACCTAGTAGCTATTTTGTGAACCAATGGTGAGAACGTTCTAGTGAGAGAGATTTGCTCATTTCTTAGCAAATCACTTGAACCCATCAGCCTCATTGAATATAACTCCTCCAAACTACAGTGGTTCTTACATCCATGATTCCTCAGCCTTTTCCTGGCTGTTCCTCATTCGGTCCACATTGACCCCAGGAGAAGGGAAAGCTCAAGACGCAGTGCCCTTAGCAAATGGATGACACTTAGCTGGCAGAGGATGGACTGAGTCCTAGCAGACTCCAGGCAGGGTAAGCGTGGGGATGAAGGCGGAAGACCCTGAATGGGGGAGACCTCCACCCACACATTTAATTGAAATTTTTTGAGTAACAGAAAATAGACATACTTGAAAAACTTTAACAGTTGCCATTTCACTGTAAAATCCAGGCTACATCACAAATTAAGATATGTTTTGCTATCTCTAGTGGAGTATTAAATTTTGTCAGCATTTCTTAACTCTCAACACAGTCATAGAGACAACAGAGGTGTGAATATTGGATTGTTTTCCAGCTGGTAATGCCACTGCTTTCCTCCCACTTACAGATGTTAAGACCTGTAGCAAGACTAAACCCAGAGGGGGGAGAATAGGGGGTGATTCCCTGGAGAAGGCCCTACAAGTTACCCAACAGGGATGGGGCTCTTTTTGTCTGTAGTCCAGTTTGTCCTTTCCTTTCCTTCAGTCCCTGGGGGTCGTCAGGCTCCAGACATCTGCTGAGCCTCACTACTACCTTATTGGCTCACTTTGGTTGGCTGTATGATTCTGTCTCTCGTGGCCGGCCTGCCTGGTTTCTGACCTTCTGCTCTCCCAGGGCTCCGTCTCTGATTTTGGCTTTTCGCCCAAATCTTTTGCCTCTTGCCTACTTTGAACTGTGGTATGTTTAATTTAGTTCAGATCTCCTTCCAGTTCTATCTGTTCACTGGGACAAGACCCTTGCCTCTCCCTTCCTTTATGTCCTCCAGCCCTGCTTCCTGCCCTCTCTCCACACCCCACCCTCCCTGTAAGCTGACAAGTCTGCCTGCAACAGAAATTTCTGTCTAGAAAGGGATGTCCATGTGCACTCCAGATGATGGTCCCATGTAATGGTCCAGTGTTTATTACTTGCAGGTGGCATTCAGTTCAGTAGAACTCAGCATTGCAAAATCAATCCATTGCCTAGAATTTGTCTGAGTAGAACCCAAATATCTAGATATTAAAGAAGTCATAGGCTCTCAGAGCTTGACGGAATTTAAGAACAATTTTGTCCAACCTCCTCTTTTTGTTGAAATGCAAAGAGATTAACTGTCTTGGCCAAGATCACATGGTCAGTTCGTGTTAGAGGCTGGTTCTATTACCCCTACACAAGGGTTCCTCTCACTTGCCACACATACCTGATGTGTATATGATGAAAACCATTTGCTTAGGGCAGTGTTCCCCAAATCACAGGATGCTCACCACTGGGGGTGGTACACTAAGATGATTTTAGACAGTTCATGAGATTCTTTGGGGCGATAAAGCACTAAATAACATTGACTCTAACAGTGAGAAAGTTATTACCTTTTTACCTTAGCTTGGGCTACTATAACAAATTACCACTTATTGGGTGGTTTAAACAACAGACATTTATTTCTCATGTTCTGAAGGCTGGGAAGTCCAAGATCAAGGTGCTAGCAGATTCGGTTCCTGATAAGGACCTGCTTCCTGGCTGGTAGACAGGTGCCTGTCTATGTGTGCTCATATGGCCTTTCCTCGGTGCATGCATGTGGATAGAGAGACATCTCTCTGTCTTCTCTTCTTATGGGGACACTAATCCCATCATGAGGGCCCCACCCTCCTGCCCTCATCTAAACCTAATTACCTCCCAAAAGCCCCACCTCCAAATACTATTGCACTGGGGTTTAGGGCTTCAGCATATGAATTTGTGGGAGACACAGACACAGCCCATAACACTTTTCAGCCCTCTTTTACTCCTAACCACATGCAGGAGAAAGTCTCCAGCAGTGCTAGCGCACCTTTCACACCTCCCTGTCACTTACCAATCTCCCTTTTAACCAAGATGGAGTGGACCTTAGGTTCACAGGCTTCAGCAGGCAACAGAATTCAACATTGCTTTGTTTTTATTATATTCATTTTTATGACTACTTTCTCTTTAGGGCAAGTGATCCTGGATTCTCATCTATGATAGTAATATAAATTGCCCTTTAAAAATAATCTTTAAAAAAATGAGGCAACAAAAATATGAGGTAAATATCACAGGTGATATGATATGCAGATGTGACAAAAATGGGGAAGCTGATGTGTGAGTGAAATGTAGAAAAGTCCTGGTTTAAGGGCTGGCCCGGTGGCGCACTGGAGAGTGCACCGCTTGGGAGCGCAGTGGTACTCCCGCCAAGGGTTCGGATCCCATGTGGAGACCGGTTCCCGCTCACTGGCTGAGCATGGTGCGGGCGCAACACTGAGGGTTGCGATCCCGTTGCCGGTCAGTAAAAAAGACAAAAAGGAAAAAAAAAAAAAAAAAAAAAAGAAAAGAAAAGTCCTGGTTTAAGGGCTGGCCCGGTGGCGCACTGGAGAGTGCACCGCTTGGGAGCGCAGTGGTACTCCCGCCAAGGGTTCGGATCCCATGTGGAGACCGGTTCCCGCTCACTGGCTGAGCATGGTGCGGGCGCAACACTGAGGGTTGCGATCCCGTTGCCGGTCAGTAAAAAAGACAAAAAGGAAAAAAAAAAAAAGAAAAGAAAAGTCCTGGTTTAAGAGTACAAATACATCACTCCCTAAAGAGAGCCTCAGTGGATGAAAAGCAGCAGCCTGCCTCTTGCCAGAGAGTTCAGGTTTGGTTTTGCTGGTAAAGTTGTGCCTCTGGCCTGACGATTAGAAAAATATGCATAAAAATAAAGCTTGTCATGCAAATGAGCTTTCAGAGGTCATAAACTGCAGAAGGTTGTAGCAAACCCAGCTGAAGTTTGGGACGCCTGCTAATGACAAACATCGCTTCCTTTTTCCCAGTATGAATTCAGCGTGATCTTTGACACAAGCCACCTGTCTGGGGAAGAGGAAGTTCTTAGCTTCATCGTTACTGCTCAGAGGTAAGGGGGATTTAAACATATTTTTGAAAGATGAGAGATTTATGGGACCAGGAAAGGACATGCCCTGGTCACGTTTGGGTGATCCCCAGCATGCTGAGGAGGAAGAAACTGTTACTCAATGATAAAGCCCCAAACTGCTAAGTGGAACCAGATCTCTTTGGAATGGTGGTTGTCTAGTGCTGCTTGCATAGCACCACTTCTAGCTGAACTGGGTGGCACTGGGAGTCACCCAGTCAGAGGTAATGATCCTACAGCTGATGTGAGCCTGGCTCAGAGAGGTGAAGCTCTAGTCCAAGGTCACATGGTTGGGGTCCCGTGTGGCTGTGTGTTTCCCAAGTTGGACAGATGTCTTCTGTGGCTTGTCAGGCTGGGCCTGCTGCTTCTCGTGGACATGCTGCTGTGTCCCTTGATGGAGGGAGAAGGGCACCTGCAGCCTGAGGCAGAGCCCCTAAGAGATGCTCCCGAGAGAGGGCTTGTCCCAAAAGCTGAGTGGACAGATAGGAAAGGGGACTGCAGGGTGGGTCCTCACCCCTCAGGACTGTGCAGCTGCACCTCTCTGGTGTGGCTGTGAGCACCTAAGAGGGCTTGAGGGAGTTATGAGACACTTACGCCAGCATCCACACATGCCTGGAAGTGACATCTACATGTTGCTCGACCTGTAGCTCAGATGGAGAGAGAGGCACTTAGGTGGGTGAATAGGGAAATAGAAGCTTTGACTGGGGCAGTGGTTGGACACTCAGGGCAACCTTTTCATTTAAGTTTTTGTTTGGATATGATTTTAAACTTAGCAGAAATATTGCAAGAATAGTGCAAGTAATTCCTACATACGCTTTACCCAGATTTACCCAATGTTAGATTTTGCCTCTTCCATTTTATCATTCTCTTTCTATATAATTTTTTTTATTAACCATCTGAAAGTAAGTTGCAGAAATCATGCTCCCTTGTCCGTAAATACTTCAGTGTGAACTGCCTAAAAATGAGGCTTTTCTCTTAGGTAACTACAGTATAGTTAGCAAGTTCAGGAAATTTAATATTGATACAATTCTATTATCTAACTTACACTTACTTTCCAATTATGCCAGTTGTCCCAATAGTGTATTTCTAGCCACTTTTTCACGGGTCCACAAGAGGTGATTATTTTCTGTTCACACTGTTTTCAAGATCACATTATTCGTGTTCACATAAAACATGACTGTGATCTAATAAAAGCAGGTGCAAAGCATGGAGAGGGCAGACTTCATTCCCATTGTTAGAATCCAGAAGGGCTTCTTCACTGGGGAGGTGGCATTTAAACGGGAGAGTCAGTTTTCAGGCCGAAGCAACATAGGCAGAGCAGTGAGCATGTCCAGGCACGACCGACTCTGTTACACCGTGTGGTGGCAGGCCCTGGAGTGAATTGCAGATTCATGAGCCGTCTCAGAGGAAGGGCAGGGAGCATATAGGATCAGTGGAAGGTGGCGCTGAAAGCAGAGCTGGGCTGGACCGTGGGGAGCACAGGGAGCCTCAGAAAGCCTGAACTACCCTCTGATGGCAGTGTGGGGCCACTGAGGGTTTTTCAAGAGGGAAGTGACACAATGTGACAGCTTGACCACAGAGCATGAGACTGTTGATTTAATAAGGGGAGGCAGACACCTATTCAAACGTGGAAGTTCCCATTCTCCTGCCATTACTTGGATCCACGGAAAACTCACCACTGTTGGGCGGATCCATCAGTGTGCTCCCTCAGTCCTCAGCACCTGGACAGCCCATGTTCCTGGGAGGGAACGTGACATGGAAGATTTCCTTTGTCCAAAAGAGGAAACTGCCTGCCTCCCACCTTATGCAGGGCACATCAGAGAGGACAGAGAGGGTGGGAGCTGATAGCACGACTGTGAGAAATTCATCTGTTAGAATTATATGTCCACAGACAAGTGGTGCTCTGGTCTTGGATGCATATTGGAATCACTTGGGCAGCTTTAAAAAATACCAATGCCTGGTCCGCCCCCCAGAGATTCTGCTCTAATTTGTCTGGGGTGAGACATGCGCATTGGGATTTTTGAAGAGGCTCGTCAAATGATCCTAAGCCAAGGCTAAGAACCACTGTCTACAGTCGCATTTGCACTCAGTAAACATCTGTTTGGGCACATTTGCACTCAGTAAACATCTGTTACACACCTACTATTTACCAACTGCAGTGCTAAGTGCTAGACACATAAGAAATTACCAGTACCCTACTAAATTCAAGAAAATCCCCTTATATATATTAATATTGCTACATAGCATCAGGGGAGGCCTAGTATTTGTAACTTAAATAATTTAAGAATTTCTTATTTCTTGAATCACAAATGTTAAGGAGGTCATAATACCTTTTAAACACACAACAGAGTATTTCAGGTACATGTGAAGCTTTGGTGAAAATCTGGTCTTAGTGCACAACACTTGACTCCCTGCTATGATAGAAAGATTCTTAAAGCTCCTTATCGTGAAAGGCACAGTTAAGATACCAATCGTTCCTTTCTTCCGTCACCACCCTTTGAAGGTCTCTTGCCTACTTGTAGATTTAGGAGGACGTAAAGTTGAGACTAAACAGTTTCTCGAGACCTCTCCGCTCAGCAGCCATCAGCCAGGCTTTGCAGACCACTGGAGAGCATCCCAGCACGTGGGCTGGCGGCATGACTGGGAGCCTTTTGATGTTTGTCCTCTTTATCTCAACTTTTCAACTTAGCTCATTCTGGAGCAGTCACTGATGACAGATGAGACTGTTGGGCCTGAGCTGCCAGCAGCCACAGGTGGCTGGACAAATGACAGAGCAAGGGGTGGCCCTTCCATCAGGAACCAATTACTCAGACCTGGCAGGATGCTGTGGCAGGGGTGGTGGTGTCCCTTGACAGGGGAGACGCTGCTGGTCTGCCCATAGCAGTGATCCCAAGGCTTTTATCACCCCCTGGGAAAGGAAGGGCCAGGAAGTTAGGCTGTGTGGCACCTGATCCTGCCGCTCCTTCAAACCAAGGCTGCCCCATGAGGGACTGATGTCACCCCATGCACCAGAAGACACATGAGGAGCCAGGGCAGTGACTGGCCCTGCAGGTCAACATCACAGAGCACCATTGTTCCAGAACAATAGGAGAGAGGAGGAGAGGGGATGTGAGGGCTATTTAAGTCCTGTCGCCATTCAGCACTTGCCCGCTCCTTCAAACCAAGGCTGCCCCATGAGGGACTGATGTCACCCCATGCACCAGAAGACAGATGAGGAGCCAGGGCAGTGACTGGCCCTGCAGGTCAGCATCACAGAGCACCATTGTTCCAGAACAATAGGAGAGAGGAGGAGAGGGGATGTGAGGGCTATTTAAGTCCTGTCGCCATTCAGCACTTGTCGGGTGGGAGAGGAAGGCAGTGGGCAGGGCTGGGAAGGGCCAAGGAGGGCACGGAGCTGACGTTCCAAAGTGGGGTGCTGGGGAATGGCCAGGATGAGCCCTCCCAAACCTCAGGCAGGTCTGGGGACTCTTACGTTCCAGCCCTGGAGGGTCACCTTGGCTTTCAGCTGGGTCACCCATTCACTGTGTGGAGGAACCACCTGTGAGTGCTGGGTTCAGCAATGTGCACTCAGCAGCCATGCCTTTTCCCAAGGCAGTTGCTTTCCCAGAATAATGGTCACAATTCACATTTGAAACTTAGTAGAACAGTAAAGGGAAACCAGATCTTCTCTCTCCTTCTCCTGCTCCTTCTCCCTTCTTCTTTTTGTTCTCCTCCTTCTCCCCACTCCCTCCAGCCCCCTAGTCTGGAATCAGGAGCAGGAATCACAGTGGAAAGAGCCCTGGTTTGGAGACCCCAGATGAGCTGGTTGGAATCAGTTCTGTGTGGTTTACAGAGGGCTTCAGGCAAGTTGCCTAACCTATCTGAGCTGCTCCTCTCCTGTCCCAGGTGGGCGGTCCCTCTCTCCCTGGGGTCACTCACCAGCATCAGCTTTCCAGAATGACCTCATGAGAATCCTCACACTCACCCCGAGGGGACTACCTCATGTGGACAGCTGTAGCTAGTCTATTGTGAGAGCTTCCAGGATGTTTATTGTGATGGGGTTGGCCAGGGCCTCTCTCCTGAGCTTGGCTATCCGTGGATGATGGGTGACCCCTCCAGGTGGAAAATAGCTGCTGAGGTCCAGCAACCCTCTTCCCGGCTTCAGCGCCCCCACTTCACTGGTCCATTATTCGTGGACAAGGTCTGATAGAAGTAGCACATGCCATGGGCACCACACCTAACCCCTCAGCACTCACCTTTCCCACATGCCCATTGCACAGCTTCCAGCCCAGCACCTGCCACCCTGCTGCGATATGTGACAGGGCAGATGCCAGGGGATTTATGCCACCCTAGCAGCAGCAGCGGCTCTCGGGGATCATGGATGAAGGCCCGGCTCCCATGCCCTCCACTGGGAAGATAGGTGTGTGCTCGCCACTGCCTCCTGAGTCCCCCAGCGAGACGGGGCCCCAGCTTGCCGGCAGCATGAACCTCCTAGATAGCATGGCTTCATTCTCTTCTTTCCCTTCCCTTCTCCCTTCTCTACTCCCTACTGCTATGTCCAGGGGTCCCCTTCCAAATAAACTACTTGCCCTCACATCTTTGCGAGTGGAACACAACTAAGACAATAGAGTGGCCGCTGGGACTCTGTACAGGGGACTCTACCAAAATGGAACTGAGGACAAATAAGGTACAGTCTGCTCTTGAAGAAGGTAGAGATGATGCCATAATGTGGAACAGAGAAAGCCTCCTGCCGTAGCTAGTTTTCATTCATTCTTCTCTCCCCACACAGTGGCAACATGGAACGCTCTGAATCCCTCCACGACAATACCCTCACGCTGATGGTGCCACTCATGCACGAAGTGGACACATCTGTCGCCGGGTGAGTAGCCTGGTCCCAGGTTGCCACAGCTCGGGGTGCCCTCCAGTGGAATGCTGTGCTTCTCTTGAGTTTGCATGTGTAGCAGCCAGGAGCCAGTGGTCCTGCCACCTCCCCTTCCTCCCAGTTTTGAAAAGCAGGATGAAGCTTTAACTGCAGTGACTTCCTCTCTCCTCCCTCCTGTTTTCTCCTCTGCCCAGCTACCCACACACCCGGTAGGTAACATGGGATGTTTGATGACAAGTTTAAGCCCCACAATTTCTTTGAACGTTCTTTATACCTTTTTATGCATATAATCCCAGCACCACCACCGTCCCCACCTCCAGAACACCATATGGTAGCAGGCAGAGTGGTTCCTGGGATTAAAAATTCAGCCAAAGGCTACTGGACCAGAGGTTACAGCCAGATGTGTCCCAACCCCTGGCTCATGGGAGGGCTCCCTTTCTGATTAGCGCCTGTCCAATTAGCTTCACAGTCAGCCCTGGCTTTGTGTGTTTCTGCTGACTCTCTGCAGAGCTAAAGGCGGCTCTGCCTGATGTCTGTGAGGGTCTGGAATGGGCAGGGAACCATCACGATGGCCACACCATCTGTCTGGGTGAAGTCTATGGCCACTCAGTGCTGCTGGCATTGTTGGAAAGCAGGGCTATGGGCTGCGGTCTGTGGGGACCTGAAACAACCCGGCTCAGTTTTCAGCCAAAGCTCAGGCCCTAGAAAAATGAGAACTCAGTTCCTGTTTCCAGACTCAGAAAACAGAGCACATACCTCTTTGATAGTGGAAAAAAGATTTGCACAATTAGTTTAAATCAAACGAAGACCCATTGAACCCTTGACCCTAGTGCAAACTGAACTTTTTGGAGGTTCACAGTTTCTCATTTTTCACTTTTCAAGAACTTCTGGGTCCCGGCCTTGGCTGGAAGTGGAAATGCTGATACACCGCAGGAGGAGCTGTCCCTGCAAGAGCTCACGCTCTGCTGGGAGCCAGTGGAATGAGCCTCCGACGTCCCTCCTCCTGAGCTCTTGACATTTTTCATCATGTTTTTTAAACACGAGGCACTGGTGGAATATATTTGCAAATTAGCCTCCGACGTCCCTCCTCCTGAGCTCTTGACATTTTTCATCATGTTTTTTAAACACGAGGCACAGGGCCGGCCTGTGGCTCACTCGGGAGAGTGCGGTGCTGATAAACACGAGGCACTGGTGGAATATATTTGCAAATTAGAATATATTTACCTCTGTTCACAATGGCAAATATTAACCGTATAGTTTATTTTATTTTTAACTGTATAGTTTATTTATTTGTCTCAGAGGCACAGTGAGAATATACCCAGAACCAAATCCTATCCCTGGGGACAAAGAGAAAACACCCCCCTACGCACACTTGATCATGTTGTCAGATGGTAGGGGACCTCACTGTGAGGTGTTAACAGCCCCTGATGATGCCATCCGTTAAACAAACGAGTCAACCTCTGATCTTTACAGGAGCATAAAACAGGGTGAGCTTAAATGAACCAGTTCTTGACAGTCAGTAATGCTGGGAACTCACTACATTACTAAAATAATGCCCTTAAGTTGAAAATAGGCGAGTTGCTGTCCATTGGATTTGGTCC